TTATTACTATTTATAAAAAATTACTTGACTTGACTTGAAGGTACCATAGAACCTCAAAGCTTTTCCTAATAGCACATGGTCACATGAATGGTTAATGTTTTGCACTGGCTCATGAGATTGGTTCAGTCATGGTCTGTGTCACACACAAAAAAACCCTGACCCATACAGGTTTTCTCCCTCACCAGTCTCTGCTCGCCCAGCTTTACCACAGGGCTGTTAGAATCAAAGTTGTGCTCTGACCTCGCAGCTCCAGCTGTCAGATGTGTTCCGCTTCAGGCTCAGGAGGATTCAGGTGCCTCCTTCGGAATCCTCATGTCAGGATTAAAAACAATCCTCAGTGGTGATGATCATGTGTGACTTTGTTCCTCCAGTTTTCATAAAATGTTGTCATTTGTATATTTTCTTTTGTCCTAATGATTTTGTAATTTTGTCTTAAACCCAGGATGAAGTCAATCAGATCATGGAGACCAATCTGTGGYTGAGACATGTAAGTCTGCGGTCCACGGTGGTGACACTGAATGTCGAGGAAAAAGGGCATCCAGGACAGATCCAGCCCGCTGTCATACATGATTCTTTCTTCTAGACTGACACGATGAATTATTTATAGCAGGAGGAAGCTTTTTAAACACAYTGAATCATCAGGGCTGAGAAGAAAAAATGTACTAACACAAACTTCATTTAACTCTCATGTTGACTTTTTTATAAACTTTTTCTCTGAGACTAAATCTTAAATGTTTGTGCRTCAAATGGAAAATGAGAATTTTAAACTTTTTGTTTCACCCAAAACAAGACTATACTCAACACACGTGCTTTCCCCTCACACATTCAGCCTCTGTTCTCAGATTGAAGCAGGTTTGAGTGAACTAAAGCAAGGCAGGTCCCCGGGTCTCATTTTAAAAGCAATAAGCAAATCCTCCTCTGCTCTGACTCTGGGTTTCCTTTAAAGGTCCCAGCTGTAATAGCTATTTGGTGTTCAGAGAATATGAACTGCTGCTCTTTCTTTATTATAATCGACTTTTTTTATTTCTTTTAGAGTGGGACTGCACATATTGGACCAGTGAGAAACATTTCCCATGCTGGCCGTTCCAATTTTACAATACACTGAAACCCATCTATAATTTTCTAATTAAATTAACTACTTTTACCACCCCAGGGCTGCTGTTACTATCGCAGCTTTATGAGTCTCATGGGGATCATTGGTTGACCAGAGGAGAGGGTCATCCATAGTGGGTGAAAGGTCCATAAAACACACAGTAAACACACACACACACACCTACTATGTCTCTCTATCCTTGTGGGGACTTTCCATTGACTTCCATTCATTTTTTTTTAAATTGTATATCCTAACCCTGACCTTTCACAGTAAAGCCAACCTCACAGGTACCAACCTGACCCTAAAACTAACCTAAACTCAATTCACACCTTGTAAGTCAGTAAGTAAGTAAAGTTTATTTATATAGCACCTTTCATAGATGTAAAATCACAAAGCGCTTCACATATGATAGAATAAAAACAAAAAAGTAAAATAGTAAATTAAAACATCACCACAGCATTACAATTCATACAAGAATACAAGTATAAAAAAACCACTTAGCTAAAAGCCTGTTTGTAAAAGAAAGTTTTCAGATGTTTTGTAAAAGTATCAATAGAATCAAGGCTGCGTATAAATTGGGGCAGTGCATTCCAGAGCCTAGGTGCTAAACCCAACCCCCACACCAAAAATCAGCCTCTGAAGTTGTGGGGCCCAGGCTTCAGGCCCCACAAGGAGCACCCAGTCCCCACGAGCCTTCATTTCCCATAAAGTGTATCTTCCCCGTGAAAAGATAACTCCGCCCCAAGGCGAAATTTGAAAAATGCATCAAAGTGGGTAGGGGAAGGGGGGGTTAGAGAGCGGAGGTGTGGCCAGGACGAGAGAACGTGACAGGCAGCTAGCATTAGCATAATTGATGCTACATGGAAAGTGACCACAGTATCGCCGATAGTTACATCTCACATCTCTGAACGTCTGAGGTGGAGGATTTTCACCCCACACCAGCACCGGACAGAGGAGGAGGAGTGCTTCGACAGCCTGACAGAAAAAAATAAAAGCATACAGCTGCATCTGCTCACTAGATCGC